GAATGCTGCAAAGTTATTTCTATTAATTGGGAAGCAAATGCTTGCGTGGGCAATGCTGTGATTTCTGTAGAAAAGTAAACATTTGTACAGCTCTCTGACTTTATCACATACAGACGTCTCGTCAAAGAACAAATGTGCCTTTCACTCCGGGCCTTTAAAAGAGCTGCCTGTCACTGTTCCATTCAGCAGTGTGGTTTGGGGGGGAAAGGGGTTTTGCGCTTCTGCACAAGACAGCCTTATGTGCCTGGGCACCGTGGGGGGGCCGAAGTTTGAGCTTGTGTGGCCTCCAACGGGACAGAAATAAACCGCGGGACAGACACAGAATGCACCTTCAGTCTGCTGGCTCAGGAGACCCTGCCTGGGGAGACAAAGAGCTGCTATGGGACCCTGAGACCGCCCCCCCCACCCCCCAGGGGCGGGGAGCTGCTGATTGCAGCAGTGACAGTTCCATTTGTCTGTCAGGGGTGCCAAGAGGTCCTTGGGACACCAAGGTGGCGGTGGGGAGGGTGCAAGGGGAAGCAGGGTTCTGGAGGGTTCTGTGTGGGAGGAGGGCTGAGGACCAGCTGAGTGTTATCCAGGGGTGGTGGGGTGGAGGGCAGCCCCCTTGAGCCCATGTGCTTTCTGTGACCCCGCAAAGCCGGCCGCACCCCCTCAGCGCCCGCCTCATGTGGAGCTGCTCAGAACGCAGGATCTCACTCCGTCTCCTCACTGTGAATCGTAAGCTGCCTTTCGCCAAGGCCTCAGGTGGTTGTTGGCACACTCAGTCTTGAGAGGTGAAGACGCCCCAGAAGAGGTGTCCTAGGATGCTGACGTCGCTGGCCCCGGAGTCCATCCTAAGCTCCAAACGCCCGTGGCCTGAGCAGCTCGACCACAAGGAGCGGTGGGAGCAAGCCGCCACGACGTCAGCCTCAGGGAGCCGCTGTTTCCGTTTCCCCGCCTTGGTCTCACTCCTGAAAAGGGTTTCTGGAATCTCCATCGAGGTGCATATGTTCGATTTCAACTGACTTCCTCTCCAAGCAGCGGATGAGGAGTTCAGTAAGTCTGGTGTCCATGTCCTCCTGTGACCGGCAGATCTCGGTACTGTGTATGAATTCCATCTCCGTCTTTTCTCGTCCTTGTTTTTATTGGCTTCGTTGCGGACTGGCCTGATTTTCAATGTTTGGTTTCGTCGTGGTCCAGCAAGCGTTCCTTTCGTGCGATCTGGAGGCGGCGGAATTCGCTCTTTGCCGGGCTGTCCGCCGTCCACTCCGCGGTGCCGCTGACCAGCACGCGCATGCCGTTGCCGGAGTTCTGCGTGCTCCATTAACGTCACCGAGACGTTTCCTTCTTACGAACCGGTCACCCCTGCAGCCTCTTCCTCTGGCAACGTGGGACGCAGAGCCCCTGCTTCTCCCTGATTAAAAGCAGAGTGGTTCTCTGTGATCGGCTTCGAGAGGCCGAACGATGGATCAAATGGCCTTTGAAGGTTTTCCAGCCCAGACGGCTCGATGGCTGTCCTTTATGCGTTTCGTGTGCCTGCGAGCAGGACAAAAAGGGGGGAGGGGGCGTTAGATTTCCTGTCTCGGCAGCAGCATTTCAGGTAAAACGCCATGTGGACTTGCTAATTAAAAGAAAAACCCCAATTTTATTTTGTTAGCACCCATTAGGCTATGCTTTAGAGGAATGAGAGTGTTGGAGAAATCAGAGAAAAATGAAACTAATTTACAGCGCCTCTAACCAAACTAGAGAACGGAAAAATCCCCAATGCTAAAAAAAAGAAGAAGTTGGGAAGTGACCACATGTGCCAGTCTGCCACAGGACAGTTTATGTACATTTTCTAAAACCGTATTTATGATAAACCTTTTCAGTGTTCACTGATTTTCTTGATTCAGCCCTCGCTTTGAAACAGTGACTGGCGGGGGCTCAGTAGTTCAGATGTCACCGGGCTGTGTGGCCACCTGTCCTCTAAATGACTGTTGACTGCTGCACCTTTTTTGTGCATCTGTGTCCAGCTGTCGGCCGAGCGCTCGCCACTGGCTGTGACTGCTCGCCATCAGCTTGCTCGTCTGCACCCATCGGTCTTTTTCACTTGCTCGCAATTTATGTGTTAGGCCGGGATGCAGCCTCATGAAACTGGTTAGGGTTAGGTCTTCTGAGTGTGTGCTAAAGCCCGAGGATGCGGATGAGTAAAATAGTCCACAATCTCACAGATTTCACAGTCTGATGAGGTGGGAGAGGGGAATCGTATAAGTAGTTAATTCAATGTGCAATTATACAGTCCAGCGTGGGGTGAGGACAGCGAAGCCAACACAGGAAGGGAGGACTGGGAGGGAGGGAAGAGAAGCTCAGGGAGGTGGCACTAAGTGGCATTTCTAAGGATAACTAATAATGGAAAGCGGAATGCATGCAAGGGACCCACAAGAAACGAAACTAGGCTCTTCTGGGAAGGATTCCTGGACCAGGCGAAGACATCGCACTTTCCCATGTGCAAAAAATTAAATTACGAAGCTGGGAAACCAGTGACCCGTGTTATGTTGTGGCAAGATTTTGGTACAATTGTTGCCTGAAGTGATCTGGGAGGTGGAAAATGTGCCCAGTGCACCTGTAGCTTTGGGGAAGGCTCTGAAATCACAATCGCAGGCTGGCTGTCACTAGCTGCACTTGACAGATTACCACATGAGAGAAACACGCTCATAAAGAATGGGCCAGTTTGCAAGCACAATTTAGAGAGAAGGCAGACAGCCCAGAGATTGCAGGGTTGGAAAATGAATTGCACGGACCTCCATCCAATCAGAAGTGCATCCATTGCGACACGGTCTTGGGGAAAAGGAGCTTTAACGCCTTTGTGAAGACGTCTGAAAGAAGGAAGGTGGGCGAACGGGCTCCCGGCAAGACAAGGCGAATGTGCCCAGAGTCCCCGGAACCGAGTCAAGGGAGAATGACCAGCCCAGATCAGCCACATCCCAGCTGCGGTGCAGATGCACAAGTGAGAATAAGTCGTTGTCCTCCCAACTCCTGAATCTGGGGAGGATCATTACGCCCAGCGCCTGCTGACTCATATGTGAAACGCAGAGGCCTCGAGTGGTTTCAAGCTGGGCATTGGAATGGTCAAATTCAAGTGAGGCGTTTGCCTCTGGCAGTGAGAATCTGGATAACAGTTGGGATGAGGATTCAGTCTGAGAGGGTGTGTGAGTTTCCTTGGGCTGCTATAACAAACTGCCACAGACTCAGTGGTAAAACATCCCAACTGTATTCTCTCACAGTTCTGGAGGCCAGAGGTGCAAAATCAGTGTCACTGGGCTGAAGTCAAGTGTGGGCAGGGCTGGTTTCTTTGCAAGGCTCCAGAGGAGAATCGCGTCTTGTCCTTCCCAGCATCTAGAGGCCTAGGGAGCTGCAGCAGGAGCGGAGAAAGAGGCCCCTGCCCGCTGTGAGATACTGGGACATTCAGCAGTAGCACCGACGAGCCCCGTGTGTCTCCTGCAGACGCGGCACAGGACAGGATTGCAAGCGTGTGCTTTCTGCGTCCCCATCTGCAGGCGGTGGGTTCGCTCCCGGTGGGGAGGGCAGTGTGACCTCCCACACGGCCACCCTGTGGGCACCTTGCCTTTCCTTACAACTCAGAGCCACTGCTCCCTGCCTATCGGAAGCAAGTCTCGACACATCTTGACAAATCCCCCTTTGTCCCTTGCGATCCTTGCTGCCACTTGTTTGGGAAGATAAAAGGCACGTTGAAAAATGCCCCCTTTTCCATTTTCATCTCTAATTGAATTCTCTCCTGACCCCCTGCTTCCCCTCGGCGGTGCTTCAGGTTTTGATGATAAGGAAAAGAATTTCGTATTTGGATAATAAAATTTCCTTACTTGCCTACAGCCACCTTCAACTCAATTTCCTGTCCCCAGAGACAGTGTATATTATCGAAGAGAATC